TTTCCAAAAATAGAACAGTGAAATGTCAAAGTTAATGGGATCACGGCAATAAAATGTCCCTAGTACCAAGAAATCCGACTTCATTAGCCTGATGTGAATGTTGCTTTCAGCCCTGCAGCAGACAAACTCTGCTGCTGTCACCTTTACTTTTCCCCATAGTATATATCCCCTCACACATATTCTCATTCAGCAAATGAAAGCGACCCCATTCCTTTTTCTCCCCATTTACAGTGGCTCTTTTTCTTTCTCTTTTCCTTCTTCTTCAAAATAATTCCCACTCTGCTGACTGAGGTTTTGCTCAGTGGAACCTGGTTTGTCTTGGCTAAGGCAAAGAGTTTAATTAAAGAACCATAGGATTTAAAGCTGGGAGAGAACTCCCTAATCTCCTCTAGTCCAAAACTGAACATTTTTCAGAAGAAACTGAGTCTTAGAAAGATGGTGACTTGCTGTGATTTGAACTTGGGGATTTTGACTACAGATTCGTGCTTTCTCCTACACATTCTTCCTTTCCTAGACCAAGTGTGGATAGGACCTATCCCACATTCATTTACTCCTTCACAAATACTTATTACTCAATTGCTGCATTACTCAGACTAACCTACTACCTATGAGCAAAGAAAACTTTTTTAAAAATTGTTTTAAAGTCATCAACCCTGTGGAGTTGACCATAAAATATCTAAAGTTATGTTATGCCTAAAAGCTTGGAAGTCAGGTCCCAGTGGCTGTCCCGGAGAAAATTAAAGCCCTGCCTGTTTTTCATATAAGAAAAGTGCCCTAGTGTATGTTGCAACTACCGTCAGCTTCTCAACAAAGAGCACCACGTACTGCAGACTCAAAAAACAAACAAAAAACAAAGCACAACAAAAACCCGAATACTTGTTACCATTCTTAAATCTTTGTCATCTGTTTCTTTCCTACTGCCTGTGATTGCGAGTATACATAATTGTCCTTTCAACAGTGCATAGGCAACTTCAACCTTACAGAAAGATGGATGAGGGAAGAGTGAATTAGGGCTGCAGCAGTGAGCTGGCTCTTCTTCTTCAGGACTGAGGCTGCCGAAGTGAAACCAAAAATTGCAGCCTAAGGGTAAATAGCACCTTCTAATTACTTGCAAATAATTTTCCCCTCCCAGCTCCCTCTCACATAAAGAAGTCTTTTATTCTAAATTCCTAAAGAAAGAACAGTAGTTGTAGATTTCATTTAATTTGACCACTGGTTAATCTGTAACTTTGAGTAATCTACTCTCTTAAAAATAAATGGAGATGAGAATCTAAAAGATATATGAAGATCGATGGCATCTCACAACCCAGATTCCCCTTTCCTCCTTCCTGTTTTAGGACAAAAATATTAGAAGAAAGTGAGAGGAGGGGAAAAGTGAGCAAATATAGCATATCCTTTAACAAGTAAATCCATGGGGGCAGCTAGGTGGTGCAGTGGATAGAGCGTCAACCCCTGAGTTCAAATCTGGCCTCAGACCAAACACTTGACACTTACTTAGCTGTGTGACCCTGGGCAAGTCACTTAACCCCAATTGCCTAAAAGTTTAAAAAAAAACTGTGATTCTGTCACTGTGGAAAATTAAGTCCTCCATAAATACTTTTTTATTTTATTTCATTTTTTCACATTTATTCACCAACACAGATTGCAACCCATCGGAGATTTAAAAGATCGTAAAACCAGATTTAGAGCTGGAAGGGACTTCATAGGTTATCTAGGCCAATTTCTGTCTTACAGAACAGGAAACTGAGGAAATGACAGGTTAAGCAACTTCCCCCAGATCACACTAGTGATAAAGATGGAATTCAAGATAGTGAAGTTGTCTTAACTGTTTATTGGCTAAGATGCCAAAGGAGAGCTAAAGGAGATCTGAAGATCTAAAGGAGATAACCTTGTCCTTTTAAAATCTGAACCTGTGGTTCTGAGCGTTGATAGCGTATGTCTCTGTGTTGTTCTCTGAAAACGTGTGTTCTTTAAAGGCTTCTTTTATATAGTTATGTACCAGAACCTACCATATTACCCTGGACGCAGGAAATTTTTGTTGATATTAATGATAGGATTATGACTCTCAGCTAATATGTGGGTTTTAACAGCAAACTCCTGAAGGTAAGGTTCCTTCATTTACGATTAGCCATGAGTGATCCTAATGGTGGTTATTTCGGGCTTGTGAAGGCATTTTGAAGCATGAGGCCTTTGAAGGCAGGTGGGGATTTCTAGTGTCCCTTATATCACATCAGGAAGACAACCACTTAATTCTACTGACCTTTAGGGCGACAGTTGGGTAGTAGAGGTCAACTGTAGATTCCCTAATCCGTTTAAAGGTAGAATTACCATGGAAACCCTAAACTAATCTGCCAGGCAATTATATGACTGAATAACAGTTTGATCTTCAGTAACTTGTAAAGTGTATGAGAATTTTTGTGCAGCATGATTTAGTAACAAGAATTTAGTGACAAGATTTCTCTGTAAAAGCTCTGCTGCTTATTCACTCTGTCTGCAAACCTGGGCAAGTCACTTTTCTCTAGGTCCAGTTTCTTTACTCATCATTAAATGAGGGAATTAGACTGACCTGTCACCTCCCTCTAGAGAATGTAGGCTTCTTGAGGGTTAGCATCTGTTTTGTTTTTGTCTTTAAATCTTCAACATCTAGCAGTGCCTGGCACATAGCAGGCACTTTTAAAGATATGAATAATTCATAAATATTTTAAAGTTTAAATTTATATTTAAATAAATATTTAAATTTGTTTTAATGTTTAATGCTTTAAATAAACATTTATATGTTTATTGATTAATTGATGAGAGGCAATTTCTAAGATTGCAGCTAGGTGGTGCAGTGGATATAGCACCTAGTCTGGAGTCAGGAAGACTCATCTTTCTGAGTTCAAATCTGACCTCAGAAACTTATTAGCTGGGTGACCCTGGGCAAGTCACTTAATTTAACCCTGTTTGCCTCCGTTTCCTCAATGATAAAATGAGATGGAGAAGGAAATGGCAAACCACTCCAGTATCCTTGCCAAGAAAGGGGCAGCTAGGTGGTACAGTGAATAGAGTACTGGGCCTGGAGTCAGGAAAACTCATCTTCTTGAGTTCAAATATGGCTTTGGACATTTACTAGCATGGACAAGTCATTTAATCCTGTTTGCCTCAGTTTCCTCCACTGTAAAATAAGCTCAAGAAGGAAACAGCGAACCACTCCAGTAACTCTGCTATGAAAACCCCAAATAGGGCCACAGTCAGACATGACTGAAAAACAGTTGAACAACCACAATTTCTGAGACCCCTTCCAACTCTAAATTCTGTATCTTTTCATTTAATAAGTCAGATAGGTAGGTAGTCATGGCTTATAAAGAATCCAGGGAGCCATGTCTTATTCATCTTTGTAGCTTCCATAGTATGGCAGGAACCCAATAAATGTTTGCTAAATGAACCAACCTTAGAGCTTCCTAATTAGTCTTTCTTCCCATAGTCTCTCTATCCTACACATGTCTAAGAAACTTTCCTGGAGCACAGATCTGACCATGTGATTTCCCTAACTCATCCAACTCCAATGGCTTCCTATTGCCTCTAGAATAAAGTAGAACATGTTTAGCTTTAAAGCCAGACACAATCTAGCCCCAACTTATCATTCCAGACCCATTGGATGTTACTTCCCCTCTCCCACTTTGCCACCTAGCCAAGCTGGCTTTTTTCCCCTGTTCCTCCTATACAACACTTTCACTCCCCTGTCTTTGCTTTTGCGCTGCCCCTATCTGGAATGCACTTCCTTCTGACCTTTATATCACAGAGCAGGTAAGTGTCTCAGTGGATAGAGTTCTGGGCCTGGAGTCAGGAAGACCGGAGTTCAAATGTGGCCTCAGATACTCACTAGCTATGTGACCCTAGATAAGTCACTTAACTACTTTTTGCCTTAATCCACTGGAGAAGGAAATGGCAAAACCACTCCAGTATCTTTGCCAAGAAAACCCAATGGACAGTATTGGCCTGCTATGGTTGATAGGGTCATGGGCAACTCAAGGACCATCTTCTACATGAAGCTTTCCCTGATCCCTTCACTGCCAGTGCCCTAACTTCCAGGCTACCTTGTGTTTAACTATGGATACATTTGTATTCATTTATATTTAGGCTGTATTTTTTAGGTGTTTCTGTCTCCTGTTAATATGTAAGCTCATAGTGGGTAGAGATTGTTTCATTTTTTTTTCTGTATCCTCGGGACATAGCACAGTGTCTGGCACATAATACATACTTAATAAATATATTGATTGATTGATCAGAGGTATAAAGATTTGTCTCAATCATCCAGAAGGTCAATTGTAGAGACCCCATGACTCCCTTTGAGGACAAAAGGTGTTATACGGCCATGCAAGTCTTTGCAGACAAAGCAGGGGAGTAAATTTATAGCTGGAAGGGACATCAGAGGCCATCTAATTCAGCTCCCTCATTTTATAGAGGAGGAAACTGAGGCCTAGAAAAAAAGCAGTATCTTTCCCAGGATCTTATAGGTAATATGAAGAAGAATCAAGATTCAAAACTGTCTTCTACCACCGAATCTAGCACTATGACCACTGAGCCATTCCTCACATGTGATCACAGATTCAGTGCTAAAAGGTATGTTAGAAGCCATCTATTCTGAATCCCATATTAAGAAAGGAGAAAAGTGAATTGAGGTAGGAAAATCCATTAGAAGGCTACTGCGGTACTCCAGGTAGAGGTGATGAGGTGAATGTGTGGGTAGAGAGAAAGAGGAGAGATGTTGTGAAGGTAGAAATGAGGAGACTGCCAAACATATGCCCCACATATGAGCTAGAGAAGGAAGTGGCAAAACCAATGTCTTTCCAAAAAAAACAACAACTCAACAAGATATGTGGGATGAAGAGTGAAAAGTCAAGAATGGTTCAGACACTGTCAGTCTGGATGACTGGGTGGACAATAGTGCCCAGCCTCCATGACTAGTGGTCCAGAATGGTCCAATATTTTCAACCTCTTTTATTTATCTTGCTTTTTAGGGGAGAAGTATGAACTTCATGCAGGAACTGAGTCCACCCCAAGCGTTGTAGTGCACGTGTGTGACAGTGACATCGAGGAAGAAGAAGATCCAAAGAATTCTCCAAAGCCAAAAATCATTCAAACCCGGCGTCCTGGCCTGCCGCCACCCCCAGTGTCTAACTGAGCTTCCCTCCACGCCTCAGACAACACAATCACTTCTTCTCTTTCACATGCTTTCCTTTCTTGTTGGCTTATTTTTATTAGGTCGGTTATGTTTAAAGGAATTGGTTGCCTTCAAATCCCTGGACATTTAGTTCACTGGGACCCCCACCTCTTCCTTATATTGAAACCTCTCAACATAAGGGCTAGGAAAAGGGGATCTGTTTCCTGAATTCTGCCATTTACTACTAACCCTAATGCATCTTTTAGGAGGGTCTAAAATAAATAGCATTTTGTTCTTAAGCCACTATTACATCTCAGAGCTATGTATTCAAAAGCCAACCTAAACCAGAGATGTCAATCATGAATGTCACTGTTTGGGGGGAGGGGTGCTTTGGCTTTCTCAATCCCCATACTGAGGTGTATGCATTTTCTTTCCTGGCCACAATAATAGGACCATATGTAAACTTGAATTTTGATTGCATGAGATTCCATTCATTGTCTCTCACCCAGTCTCTGCACCCAACATCCACATGATATGCATGGTCACCAGCACTTGTTTTCATCATTTGAGGTAATGGTAACCCATTCGTGGTAACCCATGAAATTCCCCATGTCTAGCAGAGAACTCTCTAGAGAGGAGCTTTGTTAGGATTGTCTACCTGGACAGGTCTTATTTTGTTTTCTGATGTACTCACTGTTTAGAATAAAACATTTCCTTAACACTGTTAACATTTCTGGAGGGGAAAACCAAGTCTAGCACCCAAAGATGTTTCTTGATGTATTTTGAGTATTGTTTCCACACAGTAGCTACCACATCCCATCTAGGAGGTATGTCCAGGGTGACAGAGACTGACTTTAGCAGAAGCTGTTTGTTATTATGGCTTTCTGGTATCAGAACTATTTGTTGTTGGGGTTTTTTTCCCCCTTTCCTTTCTTTCTGTGTATATTTGTACAAATGTTTCAGCTGTGCTTTTGAAATCAGGAACTTTTTTTTTTTGATTTGGTGATTGTTCAGCCATCACCTGCCTGGAAACATAACTCATGCATTGCTGTTAACGCATTCATAGAATATTACAGCTGTTATGAATATTACAGTATCTTATGGATAATATTGAGTATTGAAGGGGCACCAAGATTACTTCAATGGCATATAAGTAAAGAGCGAGCATCTTTGTTATTGAAATCTGTTTTTAAAAAGTTATCAAATGTGAGCATCATTTGAAGGTGGTTTAAAGAGAACAGCAGCTGAGCAAACTAAAATGAGAAAGAGAAAAGATTAATGGGAAACTACCCTACTCCTTCAATGCCCACATACTGTACATACAAGACATTTGTTTTAGTTTGTGATTTTCTATTTCTCTATCCCAAAGTGCATTACAGAATATACACCTATAGAACCATTACCTTCTCTGCTGTATGTTCCCGGCCTAGGTCATCTACTACTGTCCATTAATGAGTTAGTCTAGATGTGTGATGCCAGTTATGATGGAGTGGGAAAAATCTTTTCATTGCCCAAGCCGTAGAACAAAACAAAATAATACAGCCAAATGACTGAAGGGATTTCATGGTTTTTGACTAGGGTGTATAGCTCAGGCTCATCAGAGACTGAAGTCACATAGAATGTTCATTCAGAAATTAGAAGTCCTTTTTACTGTGAACATAGCAATACAGTACTGTACTGCAGAGGGGAAACTGGGGGGAGGGGGGTTGGGAGGGAGCTTGTTAGAGTTCCTCCAGCTCTAACAAACTGGAGAAGGGGCTTATAAGATACTGAGGTTCCAAAATGGCTCCTGTAAGGAAAGAAAAAAAAAAGGAAGAGAAGTATATGAATAAATGTTCTGGCTTTCACTTGCTGCAGAGGTTGCTTTCACTAGAGAGTAAAGAGATTTAACAGTGAGGGCATACTGCCCTCTAGTGGAACTCTTATCCGACCCTTTCCATTAAATTAATACTACCCACCCTGTCCAAACGTTTCAGCAATTCACTCAATAGTGAAGTCCCTCAGTCTGATTTTATAGGCTCCTTGCCAATCAATCAATGAGAATGTTTTAAAAGCACCTAGTAGGTGTCAGTCACTGGACTAGGAGATGGGAAAACAAAGACAAAATGGAAATCACCCCTGCCTTCAAAGAACTTGCATTCTGTTCTTACAGATTACCCAGAATATAGGCTCCAAAGAAATTTGTATAAGGGAATGTGGAACTCCTATTTTCCAGTTAGCTTACTAGCCCTGCCGGCAAATCTATCATACCTTTCAGACCAAGTACAATAGAATGCAACACCTTCATAGAATTCAGGTTCAATATAGTAGATCTAATCTCACCAGGTAGTCAGAACAGATAACAAAGTCTTTCCCAGTCTCAGGGAAAATTTGTCCCCCAAGCTAAGTGCATCTTTCACTGGGCCAGGTTTGCATTGAAAAAGAGAGCTTGGTTATCTAGGTGAATAAGGAACTCAGATTCAACGGTACCTCCTAGCACTGTGAAAGTCAGAATTGCCTCAGCATTTCCATGGACATGCATTATGCAAACCTCTTTAGCACTATTTTCAGTTTGAAGAGTGTAAAAAAAAAAAGTGAGAGGTTCCCACCGAGTGAATCATTTGTGCACGTGTATAACTCAGAGAGCTTAGACTTCAAATAAATCTGGTGAATGATACTTTGTCCAAGTGGTGTACTTACTTTGGGCATTTGGGAGACTAATATTGAGGCTAACCTGTCTCATTTGGTGATTGTCCAAACAGATTACTAATCAAGGAGGCAACATGATATCACAAATAAGATAGTAGACCAGCCTTCAGGAGACATGAGTTCTAGTCCTTACACAAGCTATGTGGCCTCACGTCTCTGGGCCTCAGTTTTCTCAATTGTAAGACAAGGGATCATCTAAGGTACCTTTCAGTTCCAAATCCGATGATCCTATGAGATGATCCCTGAGATTCCTCTCAATTCCAAAAGCTCTATCATTCCAATTTTTGCTCTATGTAATAATTACTTTGGAAAAAAAAAACAGTTGAATGGGGGCAGCTAGGTGGTGCAGTGGATAGAGCACCGGCCCTGGAGTCAGGACGACCTGAGTTCAAATCGGACCTCAGATACATAACACTTACTAGCTATGTGACCCTGGGCAAGTCACTTAATCTCATTGCCTAGCCAAAAAACAAAAAAAGCTAGTTGAATGCACTTGTAACTCGGTAGCCAAATAACAGTTATAAATTTGAGATGCAGGAGTCCTCAGTGGGAATCTGTATTTTGAGTCTTCTCTCTAGCATTGATATATTGGCACTGGTATCTTTGTTGTTGAACAGGCTATCATCTGACATATGGGAAAATATTTTAAAGAAGCTACTAAATATCCTTTGGTTTCTCATATTTTTTTAAAAAAGGTACACATCAGCATCCATGTTGATTTCAATAGGAATGATTAGTGTGTTGAACAACAGGGTCCCAGACTGGTGCCTTGCATTGTTTTACACACACACACACACACACACACACACACACACACACACACACACATGCGCGCACATGCACACACACGGTAGATGATAGATAGATAGATATAGATATATTTAAAGTTTGGAGAATCTTGTGTTTTATGCCAGTGAAGTGAATCCTTAGCTAAAACCAAATCACATATACCTATAATATCAGTAGTAACAACTATTATTATGTAAATATGCCAGCTTAAATTCACTATCATTCTGTCTAGTGTTAAAGTCATTATTATAATTTTTTAGCAGAAATGAGTGTAGTGTTCAAATCAAACTGAGAACTGTACGAAAATATATTAATCCCTTGATGTTCTTTTTCACCTCATGGAGACTTTGTCCAATGAAGCAAAATGTCATTTGGACTTGATAACCATAAAATTTTTGATGTGCACAAGTAAGAATAGAGACTGAAGCCTTTGAGCTAGAGGTCAAAAATGACCCAGTAGATGAAGGCAGTGAAGACAAATGCCTTTGTCTTCTTCAGGTAAGACACGTGAAGCACAGGACTTATCAAGATGAAAGTTGAGTCTGTGTATGTGAAAGACACCCCTCCTCTGCCGTGTTGGAATAGAGACTTAGAGCTGCAATATGGTTCCTTAGAGATCATCTAAGCCAAACTTCTCATTTTACTAAGGAGGGAAACTGAGGTCCAGAAAAGTGATTTGTCCAAAGTCATATAGGTTGTAAGGAGCAGAAGTGGCATTACATAGTAATATAATGCAGCCACACACAAAGCAAATAGAAAGCAAGACAGTATAGCATCTAGTCAGGTATATATTGGAGACACCAAGTCTATCAAAATTCAGAGACAAGAAAAAAATGTGGGCTCGAGAGGTCTTAAGGGTTCATGAAGGAGGTGGGACATTAGGTTGGCAATGAATGTTATTTGAAGAAGCAGAGAAAGAAGAAAGTTTACTGGGTTAGGCATGGAGTGAGATGAATATTACATAAGCAAAGGCATACTGATAGTACACAAACGTGATATTAATGCCATCCAAGTCAGGTCTAGAACTCGTATCTTCTCGATTGTGTCTTAACTAATCCAACTGCCACTTGATTATCTATAGAAGCACGAACATAACGTCATAGATTTAGAGCTGAAAAGGACCACAGAGGCCATGTAATTCAACTCTCTCATTTTTACACATGAGGAATATGAGGTCTTTGCCCAATATTGCACAGGGAGCAACAGGCTGAATTTGAACCCAGGTCTTTTAACAACAAATTCCCTGCCATTTCCACTGTACCATGACATTTACTTATTTGACCCTTCTTAAGTGCTGAAGGAGACTCACACATATGCTCAGCTTTGATCATATTCTCTTCTTTTGCTACTTGATCTACTGCCTCAATGCTGGTGACTGATGAATCTTTAGCCCGGGCCCTGACAGTCTGCCCAAGCTCCAGTCTCCTACTTCCTCCTTCCTGCTGGACAGCTCCACCCCGATGGTCCACCAAGACCTCAAACTCCCTATCTTTCCTACCACATCAGTTTGTTCTTATGAGTTGCCTATCTCTATGAAAGGTATCACCATTCTCAGAGTTCTACAGTCTCAAAAACCTCAGTCACCTTTCTCTCCTTCCTCTGTCTGGTTTCCTTTGTCCCCCATCTCCATCTCCCTGCAAACCTTAATGCACTATAGAAATGTGAGTTATACTTTAGAGGGATCCCCAGTCAAGAACTCATTATCTCTTTCACTGGCTGTTACAATAGCATCTTAAGCTATCTCCTAGGTGGGAGGCATATCATGAGCAAAGCCATGGGAGGACAGAGGGGAGAGGGAGACGAGGAAATGAGAGATGTGACTAAAGGACCATGAGCAGTACAATTTGGCTAGAGTATGAAGTACACAGATGAGAGTAGTGGGAGAGAAGGGTTATGAGGAAAATGATTCATAAACCTCAAAGCACCATATATCCTGAGTTATTCTGACTTATTTTCTCCCTCTCCAATAAATCTCACCCATGGCTGCCAGATTAATCTTTGTGATTCTGATATGGATTCTGGTCATGCTAATCCCTTCTCACGAATCTTCAATGGCTCCCCAGTGCCCACTAACTGAAATCCAAACTTAGCCACCACAGTGTTCAAAACTCTTCATACTATGACCCCAGCGTTTCTTTGTCCAGACTTAGCTCCTACTGTCTCCATCTCTATACTTTATACTCCAGTGAGATCGGACTACCTATTGGTACCAATCATACCCCTCATTTTCCTAACTCTATGTCTTTGCTTGTCGGTGTTCCTTCCAGTTGAAATGTCCTTCTTTTGCATCCCTGGTGATCAAAATCTTACTTAAATGTGATCCCTCCCTCCTCCAAGCCCTAATAGTAATACTAAATTAATAATAAGGTAATTTGATGATACTTATTAAAATATTAATAATAACTAACATATAGTGTTCATAGACACTGTGCAAAGCACTCCACAATTATTATCTCATTTCATCCGGGGGGGGGGGTGCTATTATTATACCCATTTTACAGATGAGGAAGCTAAGGCAAACAGGGGATAAAGTGACTTGCCCGGGATCACACAGATAGTAAGTTTATGAATCAGGATTTAAACTCAAATCTTCCTGATTCCAGGCCCAGTGTGCCAACTAGCACATTATTTGTGTTACTCAGATATCACTGATCATACTATCTGGCATCATATATATATGTGTATCTATATATATACTTGTCTTATCCCACCTGCTAAATAACAAACAAGAAAGGGGACATAGTCAATGTGGAATCAATGGATATGGATTTAAATCCTGACTCTGCCACTTAGAACTTGGAAAATTACTTCACCTGCATAGAATTCAGTTTTCTCCTCTGTAAAATGAGGAAGTGGAGTGGACTAAGTAACCTCTAAGGTCTTCTAAATTTATGATCTTTTCAGCAAGAGATGTGTCCTACTTGCCTTATCATAGATAAAATCGTAGCTGTAGGGTAAAGAAGGACCATCAAGGACCATCCTGAGGAAACTCAGGATCAAAAAAACATGTGACTTGCCCAAAGTCACATACATACTAAGTAGTAAAGCCAAGATTTGAACCCAGGTCCCCTGACCGTACAAACTCTTTCCATTGTACTATATTTCCACCACGTTTGCATCATTCTGATGGCTTAGCAGAGTACCCAGTCTATAGTAAGTGAATTTCCAACATAGCATTTATCTAGGTGCTAGGATTCCTCCAGTGAAGGGTCACATGGTCAGGTCATGACCAGAACAAAGATAAGTAGTTCTTCTACTTAGATACTTGCTTATGCTTTCCTGATAGAATTTACTCTCCTGCATAGATGAGGTACCACTGTAAAGTAATGGGACCCACGATAGACCAGGCACTGTTCTCAACACTAAGGATGCAAATAAAAAATTAGAAGTCTCTGCCCAACTCCCCTGCCCAAAAGCCCATGTATTTACATTCTAGTGTGGTGGGGGAGGGAATAACATTTGCATCTATAGTAAGTGAATACAAAATGAAGGTAAGGTAGTTTGGGAAGGTAAAGCACTAGCTTCTGGGAAGACTATGAAATGCCTTTGTTGGAAAACACAGGCTCTGCTCCAAAGGAGACCAAGGATCCCAAAAGACAGAGGTGAGAAGGGACATCATTTCATGCATGCCAGACAGTCATTACAAAGGTATAGTGGTGTGACATGGAGTTCTATGTGTGAGGAAACACAAGCAGGCCGAACTGTAGGATGGGAGGGGAGTGAAATGTATGAAGACTGGAAAGGTAGGAAGGGGTCAGGTTATAAAGGGCTTTAAATGTCAGATGAAGGAATTTTATATTCGGTCCTGGAAGTAATAAGGTGCCTCTGTAGTTTATTGATTCCATATAAGACTCATAAAAATAGACAGCATTGAGTTTTGCAACAGTGGAAAGAATTGGGTTCAGGAGACCTGGCTCCTATTCCTGGCTCAGAGCCGGGTAATTCTAGGAAAGTCATCTTCTTAGCCTCAATTCTTCATCTGTAAAATGAGGGGTTTGGCTTTACTTCTCAGGTACTTCCAGCTTTGATCAAAATGTTCTATAACTATACTGTGTTATATTCACAGGAGGAGAGAGGGCAAGGGAGGGGAAACCCTGGACCTGTGATATCACTGGTGTGGAGAACTCCCAGTAAGGAAATTCACTCTACCAATGCTGACAAACTACTTTGCAACTTTCA